TAATGTTTGTTAATTAACTCATTTAACTGTTCTAACAAACTTCTGAGAGAAGTACTCTTATTTTATTCTTTTTACAACTGAGGAGATTAGGACAAAGAAAGGCCATTGTTTAATTTGCCCAGGATTACATAGCTTGGAAGTAACAGAACTAGACTTCAAGCCCATGCTATGTTGCTTTAGATTGTGTGCCACTTCATTTCTTTCCTCAAGATACAGAAGTAGGGGAATTTTATTTATTTATTTATTTTAACTGACTGGATTACTTTTATTTATTATTTTTCTAATTTTTTTATTGTATTTTTTTACGTTACCTTTTAGTGCCCTTACACCCCTCTACCCCCAGCAATCACCATGCCGCTGTCCAAGAAGTGATATAATGAGCCAGCATGTATATATATATATACACAATAGTTAACCCTATTAATAAGCTAAAAATGCAAGTTAAAATAATGGTGACGTGTCATCTTTATTAAATGCACAAGATCCTAAAATACACCACCAATGAAAGCAACAATATAAGATAGAGACTAAATAGGTTAAATTAATTAATATCCACAATAAGCCTTAAATTTTAGCACAGTGTTTGAAAAGGTCATTGAAAGGATGTGAGCACTGGTTGATGTAAAAGCTGGGCCTGGGCAAACAGAAGCTCCTTACCCCTTCCCTGACCTTTGCATGTACGTTCTGCCCACCGTTCCCATAGTGGGGGCTGTTTTCAAGGATGCAGCCCTGAGAGGGCTACCTGTTCTTAAGACCCTCTGGATGATGTATGTGACTGAACCCAGGTCAAGCTTCTATATAAACTTTTAAGATTCTAGCAGGCAGGTGTAGAGAACTCGTTCCTGTGGCCGCCCAACTCAAGCCTCGTAGGTAAGTTCTCTTGCTTATTAAACCTGCCACCTACCAATCTGGAGTGGTCTCCCACTTTCTTCAGTCTCTTCTTGCCTTCTGTGTATGAGGACCAGTGTCAGAGTTCACCCAGGGAACTTCTATGACTGTGAACCAAAACTTCAATTTGAGAAACTTATTTTAAGACAGTATTCAATGATTGACATAAAAGCACACATTCAAGAAAAGTCATCACAGTGAATTTTTGTTTTAGGAATATTTTATCACATAACAAATATGAAGTATAGAAAATTAAATAATAAAGCCCATCCAGCCCAACTTTCTTATCAAATCTGTTTGTTTCTCTTCCTTTATATACAGTACAAGGTTGATTTTGCTTTACAGAAATTTTGAGTAGACAAAAGACTGGGTAAAGTATATTGACTGATGTTTATTCTCCTTTTGGTCATTTTATGCATTTCAAAATTTCTCTTCAGGGAAATTTGTATTTTAATAAACAAATGTAACTAAGAATTTTTAACAATGCATTTACCTTGGGTTTCCCCAAAAGAGTGAGACTTAGAACATATATTGTTTTCTACTTCCTGTTTAAAGCCCAACTGAAATGAGAGAAAATGTATATATTTTTTAAAGAATCAAACTGCATCATACTGGGAAGTATCAAAGAAAGAGATTGGTGCACTAAAATTTTTGAGTAATTCCAGGAATGTTCAAAGCAGATACAATTGCAAACACACACAGACACAGACACACTCACAGATCCACAGACACACACACAGGCAGACACACAAACACACACAGACACAGACGCATGTATAGGCACACGCAGCAACGGCCGCAGCCATCCTTGCAAGGACGTAAGAGAAATCATCAATGCAATTAAATTACATTGATAATTAGTTAGCTTCAAATTAATTAATTGATGTTAGCATTTCAGTTGCCCTCCCCCCAAATACAGAGCAGCTAATAGCAGGGATCTTGGCTCCCAGAATAAAACCCTCTAAATTAGTCTCTAGGGACACTGAGGGTCTGCTCAAGAGATGCTGCAGAAGGAATACTGGAGCCTAAGGAAGAAGCAGAGCTTCAGATCCAACAATCCTCCCCAGCGGATACAAAGAAAGAAGCACAACATCAAAACAGGAAGAGATACCTATCCTCAGACATGGAAAACAATGTTTACCAACGCCTGCCCCCACCCCCCCTTTGCTGCAGAGGATAATGAACTGTTCATGGAAAAAAGTATTGGGCTAACAGAACCTACAACTGCCCACCTAGCCCACACTAGTTTATGTATCAATCAGTCTACACAGTGTTGCCAAACTTTAGCTTGTAAAAGAATCGCCCGGGAGCTTGTTAAGAATGCAGATTCCTGAGCCCCAAGCCTTGGAGACTGGGATTCAGCAGGTGTGAAGTAAAGCCCAAGAACGCGCATTTTAACAAGCATGTCAGCTAATTTAGAGGCAGGTGGTCGCTGTGTGACACAGTGGACCTACAAAAGACAAAAACTAGCAAATAAACAGGCCACAGCAAACAAAACAAAACAAAGCAAAACAAAACTCCAGACTAACCATAGTTTCCTTGGGACTGTGATTTGCTTGGATTGAGTCCCTTTATCATCAAGGTCCTGTTTTTTCATTTATGGGTGGGGATGATCAAAACTGTTACCTGTTTTTCACTGTTAGGGATTAATGAGATGTCATTTGTAAAGAGATTTGGTGGGTAACTTTGCACTAAGGGTTTTTTTTGTTATGTTTGTAAATACTGTTAACTAATTATTCCAAATTTATCCATAATAAAAGCAGTTATATATTTTATGGCAAAGGTCACAAATATCCTGACGATATCACTGCAATTTGTGTAATTCTTTTTTCACTTTACCTAACATTGTTTGTTGACCATAGTTTAATATGGCTTTAAACAGTCTAGAGCCTGTGGATTGTAGATTTATACCAGTTTATATGAACTGGCCACTTGAATAATATAAGTTTTCAAATATTGATTTTTAAGTTCCAGCCTATAGGCTTATCTGATTTATTGCCGGTCTAGTTCATAAAGAGCCAGTAGTTTTAGGTACCCTTTTGGCTGTAATGCAGGAGTTTTCAACTTTGTCATTTGATACTTTGGGACAGCTATTTCTCTGGCTTGAAAGGCTGTCCTGTGAATTGTGAGATGCTTAGTGGCATCTCTGGATTCTATCCACTACATGCCAATAACATGTAGTGTGATATACCCAAAATATGACACAACCAAAGACGTCTCCAAGTATTGCCTGGAAGACAAAATTGCCCCTGGCTCAGAACCATAGCTGTAATGCAAGGTGAATTTTTCTTGAATTGTGGGAGGGGGAACAAAGAAATGAAAGGAAAAACTGCCTGGAAAAGTGTCACTTGTTTTGTGAGGCCTAAGAAATATGAAAAAATTAAAATAATACTCTTGTATAAATAGGAGAACTGATGCTCAGTAGTACCACGGTGATATCTAGAACTTGACAAATGACTCAGTGTCTATTTACTCATCTCTAAATATAATAATACCTGTCTCATACCGTTAATTAATATAAAGATTATTTTTTTGTGAAGTACCTATAGAAGAGTAACTGAATGTAATAAAGCACCCAATAAATGTTATCAATCACAATTATTACTGTTACCATTTTTTTCCTGCATGAGTAGGACAATGTAACAGGTAAATTTTAAGTAATTTAAGCAAACTGAACACTTTTAGATAATAATAACTACAGAGAGCTCTGTTTTGAAAAAGAGCACACAGACGCACTATGAAAACTTAAATCTTTGGTAGAATAAGTGGAAAGTGAACTTTATTTGGTAATTTTGCAGGTATGTGCCTTTGAATGTAGATTGTATAATTTAGATCTTACTACTTCCAAAAAGCATATGAGATGATATAATACAATGCATAATACAAACAATGCTATTAAAATAGAGACAGGCATGGACATTTTCAGACGTGTAGAAATAGAAATAAAAGCCATCTCTTTCTAGTGTTTCTACAGCTAGCCAGCCATTAATAATCCAGATGTTTTAAAAGTAAACCCCCATTTTCACTTTGGCACACAAATGACAGCTGATGGTGACAGATCTCAGATCCTCCCTGTCAAGAGGAGATGAAGGAATTATTGTGCTTCACCTAAGGGAATTGTTCCTTCCCAACTGTATCAGGTCCTGGGAGACTGAACATTCTTCAACTCAAATGGTTGTAAAGCAAGGTCTCTAGCATCTTGGTGATTTTTTCTCTAAGCAAAATAGAGGAACAGACATTGCCTCAAACGAAGGAGTTTACACACACAGAGACACACAGACACACACACACACAGACACACACACACACACACACACTGTTACAGAATATTGTCTTTCTTTAATGCCTGAACCCAAAACCTCTCTCTCTCTCTCTCTCTCTCTCTCTCTCTCTCTCTCTCTCTCTCTCTCTCTCTCTCTCTCTCTCTCTCTCTCACAAAGTATTATCAGATAAATTTAGAGAGCTGTAGAGATTGTTGAGCGCACAGCCGCAGATGCGAAACGCGCCTGGCCTCAGAAACCTTTAAAACGTGGTCCAGTGCCTCCGGCGGCTGGTGGTCAGCTCAAGTCTGGACAGTAGGGAACTTTCAGACTGCTCCCCGAGGGCCTAGGGCGCCCCTAGAGACGAGGCTCTGGGACCAGGGCAGAGCAGAGAGGATCAGGGCAGACTGGAGGGAAGCAGAGATGGTGCGAGTTGTGGGTGGCGCTGGCAGCGCTCTGGGTCCGTTGCAGTAGGGGTCCCCTGGGCTACGGGACGCAGTGACTCCAAGGAAGGGTGCGAGCGCCACCCGCTGCTCCTGCAGGGGGCGCGGGAGCCAACTCTCCCCTCCTGGGGCCGCGGGGCCACAGTCGAGGCCGGGACACGATCCGCTCTCCCCGAAAGACCGCATCAAGCCGCGAGCCGCCGCCGCGCTGCAGGACCCGGATCCGAGACAAGCGGACGTCGGCAGCCCAGCCTCGTGCATCCGCGGGCAGGTTGGCCCGAGACCCGGCCCCCGCAGCTGCGCCGCGCTCTGGACCATAAGTTTGCCCCGCGCTCATCAAGTTGCGAGCGCGGATCTTCTCCCGGGCTCCGGGAAGAGTGTCCTGCTTCTCGCTCGGACTGGTCCGGGCATGGTCGGACCGGGGGCGGCGCCCCACGTCTGGGGGTGGCTGCTGCTCGGTGGCTGCCTCCTCGCTGGAGCCCAGGTAAGAGCCCGGGACCCGCGGCAACTGCTTCTCCAAGCCTCCAGCTGGAGTCAGGAATACCGACACCGACACCAAGACCGAGGCGCTCTCTCTCTCTCTCTCTCTCTCTCTCTCTCTCTCTCTCTCTCTCTCTCTCTCTCTCACACACACACACACACACACACTTACACACACGTAGTGATTTCTTGGGGCTACAAAGATATGCTTTAGGTTACTGATGTCCTGGCACGCGCACGCACACACACACACACACACACACACACACACACATTTAGTGATTTCTTGGAGCTACAAAGATATGCTTTAGGTTACTGATGTCCTGGAGTGGGACAAAGAGCTTGACATCTGCAAAGTAAGGGGATATTTAGGAGCAATGGGGTTCTGGATCAGTAGGGCGAGGCTGGAAGGTGAAGAAACTTTTCTTAGGCGTAGTTGCCTTGGCCCCCATTTAATTAATCCAAATTGCTTTTGTTTGCTGGCAATTTACTGTCACTGTTGAGAAGTTAAACCTCTAGGATCGGATTGTGACTACTCCTTGGAAGGATAACTGGCTCTCCTTGATTCAACATCACGTATTATCAAAGCAAAAGGACTAGAAAATAATGCCAATTAAACCTCAGTTGTTAATGTTAAGAATAAGTGGTAGTTGTCAATCCGTATCGTTTAGAGATTTTCTGGGCTTTCACAAGGGAGCCTCTCACACGTGTAGGTCACATTTCATCTGTACATTTTTCTTGTGCCAAACAAAATCTAGAGTTTACACTCAGCTAGGAAGGTAAGTCCTGGCGGGTGTAAGGCAGTTTTAAGAGCCCTGTGCATTTAAACGGAATCAACGTTATTTCTCCTTTCTGTTCGGTAGGGGGCGTATCTTGACCATCAAATAAAAGCCCTAGGGTTTTTGTGGGTTTTTTTCCCCCCCTTTTTCTTTTAAATTCCTTCATCATGAGAAAATTAGGCATGGATTTATATACTGATACTATATAAACTTTATACTATGTTAATGGCTTTCAGATGACCAATTTGAATTTCAATTACTCTAAAAATGCAATTGTTTTTTAACCACATAACCACATAAATGAAAGGAAACTGTGCTCTGCTAAATACTGGGCTTTACCTAACCCGATCAGGATGTTGCCGTAAACTTGTTCTGTTTTTTAAAAAACAAACAATGTGTGTGTTACACATTGACTAATAAGATTAGATGTCAGAGTGGAGGTGGGTTGTGGGGCTGAGTGAAAAGTGTGAGGGGATTAAGAGTAAGAAAAAAATCCCTCATAGTCCCAGACACCGGGATGGCGATTACCAGAGGGGAAGGAGGGTGAGGGGCGGTAGAAGAGAGTAAAGCGGGGAAAAGGGTGGTGGAAGGAGACTTGACTTGGGGTGGTGAGCACGCAGTACAAGGTACACATGATGTATTATAGAATTGTACACCTGAAACCTATATAATTTTATTAACCAATATCACCCCAATAAATTCAATTAAAGAAAGATTAGCAATGGATACTTAAGAGCGGGATATGCTTCCCTGGCAGATGTGGCTCAGTAGATTGAGTGCTGGCCTGAGAATTGAATGGGTACCCATTCGATTCCCAGTGCAGAGCACGTGCCTGTGTTGCAGGCCAGGTCCCCAGCAGGGGGCCTGCTAGAGGTTAACGCGCATTGATATTTCTCCCCCTCTCAAAAACAAAAACAAAAACAATAAACCAGTAGGGTATGCTTAAACTTGAACATTTTTACTAACAGAAGTAATATGACTGTATTGGAAAAAACCCCCTAAGATTTTGGTGATCGTTATAGAACTCTGGTAATCTCTAATGTACTTCCTGCATTTCTATCTCATAAGATATTTGAAAAATATGCTTCAAAACACTGCTTCCCTGTATAAAAGGCAAGTGAACACTATTTATTTTACTCAGTGTTCTAGATTATTTTTTCTAAGAAAATGGGAAAATATTAATTAGTACAACAACAAAAAAATCACTATGGATAGAGCTATGGATAGAGTATTTCCTTTACTTTTAGATTTCAATAAAACAATCAGGATATTAAACATTGTTTTCCCAACCTGGCTTCTCAGCCTGGCACCGTTGACACTCGGGGCTCTATAATTCTTCGTTGGGGGGTTGTCTGGTACATTGTAGGACACTGCGGAGCGTCCCTATCCTCTTTCCACTGGACTCCAGCGGCCTCCCGTTTCCCGCCCCGGCGCATTTGTGACACCAAACGTGTCTCTAGATATTGATAAATGGCCTTTTATAGGCAAAATTCACCCTGGCTGAGACCCACTGGTTTAAACTGACTTTCATGTATGTTTATAGGTTAAGAATTGTATGAAATGACAGTCTGTGATAATACATTACATTTTTGGCACTTTAAACGACATCTGAAAGTTAAAGTGATTTACATTGACTCATGGACACCTTCTCTGATCTTCAGTTTCTTCATCTTCATTCTCAGCTAATACAAAGATATATTTCAAAAAATTTTAATATAGTGCTAAAACAACAAAGAGAGCTCATCCAAGCAGAATTGGCTTGTGTAGAATAATTCTTTAATATTCTATAGACATCACAAAATAGATAACATAGACTAGTACTTGCCAATTGTTTACAAAAATTCTTTGGTTTTTGTTTGGTAAAGATGCTGCCTTTGCCTCAATGCACAGTTCAAAACTCATTCATTCATGCTTCAGGTGTCATTACAGAGCCCAGCAATATATTTCCTAAAGTCGGATACTACATGCCCTGGTTGGTATGACTCAGTGGATTGAGTGCTGGCCTGCGAACCAAAGGGTCTCCATTTGATTCCGAGTCAGGGCACATGCCTGGGTTGCAGGCCAGGTCTCCAGTTGAGGGCGAGCGAGAGGCAACCACACACTGATATTTCTCTCCCTCTCTGTCTCCCTCTCTTTCCTTCTCTCTAGAAATAAATTTAAAAAGTTTTTAAAAACAGTCAGGTACCACAGGATAATGGGGACCACTATATGAATATGTGTAGTAATTTCTTTACTGTGTCAGTGGGTCCTCCCAAGAGACCCTGAAGTTAGGGCTGCAGTAGGTATATTGGGGGGTAATGCCCGTGAGAGACAAAAGGGTACAGAGGCAGGATCGGATAGGGAGAGCCTCAGACCAGGATGCAAATGTGTGGTCAACCCCATGGAGAGCTCTGGGACAAAGTTTGTCCATCAGTCCCATGTGGTGATAAAATGGCCAGGTCCTAGTACTCCTCTTGTGTGCAGTTGTTGGCCGGGGTTGTTTACAAAGGCACAGACTTGGCTGCAAGGCTGATACAGATATTTGAAAGCAGTACCGCTGGAGGCTGCATTCCTTACAGACAAATGGCTGGTTCTTTCTTGAAGGACCATCTCCATGGTACCTCCCACGGAGGTACCTTGGATATCTCCAAGGTATCTCCATGGCTGCCTCCCTTGCAGAATTATCAAGGAACAACACTGGCTTTGCTGGGCTGCCCCCACACAACTCAGCCACCTTCTCCAGGCTCCGTAGCAGAAGATCTTGTGGCTCTCAGTGTGCGTGCAGGGAAGTGAATACAAATCCATCAGCACAATTAGAAAAATTCCCAGAAGCTAATGACTTACTGAGCGTAAGCACCTAAGTTCCATAGAGTAGCAGGTGTGGCCTGACACCAGCGGGCAGGTTTGTTTTTTCTAGCTCTTACTCACACTTGCCTGAGTGGAATCCCAGCACTGCCATGGCGTCCTTGCGCAGAGGAAGGGGCCCTGGCCTGGGACTCCAGAAAGCTGAGTCCGCACTCTTCTTCTGTCAACACGCAACCTCCCTGGGCATTAAACTTGATCTTAAAATAAAATAAAATAAAATAAAATAAAATAAACATGATCTCTCTACTCTTACTCTGTGCACGGAGGAGGATGAGTTCTACTGACCTTCCAGGGTGAAGAAGCAGAGTCTACCAGAAAATCCAAAATCTCTTACAGGGTGGGGAAAAAACTGATAATCAGTGATGATAGTAAACTACTTAACATTCTGTGCCAAATTCTGTGCTAAGCATTTTCATCTGTTATTATCCTGTTTAATGCTTACAGTGACTTTATGAGATAGGTACATTTTATGAATGAGGAAAGAGGGCCAAGAGATTTTAGATAATATTCTCAATTCCCACAGCTAAAGAGTCATGATCACACCCTGGCTTCTGTTCTGGAAGACACCCCTCAGATCAGTGTCCTCTTTATGGCGGTCAGCTGGGCACTGCTTAGCTGAATTATGTGTATGCATACCTCCCTCTCAGCAACGTCCACCTCTGGGTATATGTCCCGGGGAATTTCTCACAGAAGCCCATAACTGTTATTGCAATAATTCTCTGGTGTTAGAGAGTTGGGAACAATAAAAAGCAATTGATTCAATAGACACAAAGCAGCATGAACACGATCTTTAAAACAGGAAAAGGTATGGCACAGAAACAATGAGATGTATGACACAATACCATTTACATACATTAAAATAAATGCAGGTAAACACATTCAGAAAAAATATGTGTATATATGTTTCATATAAATGGTTGCATATAGGAAGGCAGACAAGTAGGAGTGGAGTATAGAGATAAAAGGGGGTAGATAGATAATAAATAAAGCAAGTGAACCTACACTCTGTATCTGTCTCTTGTGTTATTTGGAAATTATGGTGATAATAGATAGAATTTCCAACAAGCCATTATTGGTAGATTTAAAAAGAGGACATAACTGGGACATAGGCTGTTTCTCCAAGATAGTAAGCTAGGGAGCTACCCCCAGCAAAATAAAATTGAAACTTACTGCTAATTATCTCTCTGTTGGGCTTATTTCCATAAGCGCTATTGTAGTCAAAGATCTGAGCTTTCATTTGTTCTTCTTTCCTGTTGACAGCCAGGACTGTTTCCTTTTGTTTTCTAATTTTGGCGAAGGCTGGTATCCCTGAGGGGGTGGCTGCGCTCAGTGTGGGTGGTCCCTTCAGCCCCAGGCACCCAGGAGCAGCAAGAGGGATGGG